TTTGGCTCTCCCTTTTGTTACAGCAGGCAGTACTTTTCCCCAACTTCCCTAGTCCCACTATATCCTTACTTCCATCTACCCAACCCCAGGCTTCTGAATCTAATCTAAGTTTCTGATAAGTTCTCCCACCCCCTACAATCATAGGCATTTGATTATTCCTTTCATCCATCCTTACTCTGCATTCTGCCAGGCCACCGAGCCCATATCTCTCCACTGTACCAAAAGAGATGAGCTTCGAGGAGTCCTGGTTTTCTTTCTCAAAAACCTCCATAATACACTTGCCCTCCTGCACTTCGTCCCATTGCTCTAATCTGTAGAACCTGCGGTTCTTTGGGTCTTCCGCGTGAAACCAGCTTCCTGGTGGATTCACGCCGCTCGGGCTCTTGCGGCAGTGCCTCTCTTATGCGCCGGAGTCTGTTCTCCTGATCTGGTAGCTGTCCCAGTCTTTCCTTCAGGTCTGTTGCAGCCCTCCATTGGTTGGTTTCCTCCTCCCAGATATCGTGTACTGTTGCGATTCCTCTTTGCACCCATTTATATCCAAAATGCCCCTGCCCTTTCTTTGCGCTGAGGTCGGGGCCTTCCAGACTTCTGACCCTCGGATTGTCGAAGAGGTGCTGAGCTAGGATCTGTTGTTTGGAGCATGGCGGAACTCTGAGATTGGGCCTCAGGGACCTCCATGCGTGAAGGATCTCTTTCCATAGTCTTGATTTGATCCTTTTCCCTATGAAGGTCTCCATCATGATCGCGTTCCAGACATCCTCGCTCCGGTCTAGTCCCCATTCTCTCTTTAGTATTCCTTCTGCGAGTAGGACCCAATCCGCATCCTGGTCTGGTTCTATTGCCTTCAATATCCACTGGCATAGAAGGATCCGGTTCTGTGTTTGTGGGTCCGTCAGATTCAAGCCCCTTTCCTCTCTGGATCGACACAGTACCTCCCATGCTACCTTTGCCAAGCATCCTTCCCCTGACTTTGCATCCGGTTTCCACAGGAAAACTCTCGCTGCTCGCTTAATCTCCTTCAGTGCCTCTGAGGGAATATTCCTTATTTTAGCAACAAACCAGAGTAGGGCAAAGGCCGACACGTTTAGGGCCAGTGCTCTGCCAATCAAGGATAGGTGTCGGGTTTCTCCCCACTCCTTAATCCTATTCTTCACCCTTTCCTGTAGGATCAAGCCCTGGGAGGAGGAACAGTCTTCCAGCGCTATCATTACCCCTAGAAAACGTTCTGCCTTGCATGCTGCTACTCTATTAATTCCCCAATTCACCTGTAGTTGTTGTGTGGCTGGGAGAAAATAGGTAGATTTTTCCCAGTTTACTGCAGCTTCAGAGTATTTTGCGTAGATAGCCAGACACCTCTTTAGTGCTTCCGGGGAGTCCCTCTTGTTCTCACAGACTACGAACAAATCGTATGCGAGTGCTTTGACGCGACACTCTTTGTCTGCTGATATTTTAACCCTTTGATTGACACGTTCCTTCTGATGCTATTGATCAAGACTTCCATCTGCAGGGCAAACAACAGCGGAGGAATTGGACATCCTTGTCTGAGGGACCTCAAGAGGGTGAACTCTTCAGAGCATCTCGCATTGACCATAACTGCAACTGTAGAATAGGAGTATAAAATTTTCACCCATCTGCAGAAAGACTCTCCAAAACCCATTTGTTTTAATGTAGTCATTACGAACGTCCAATTGACTCTATCGTATGCTTTTTCAAGGTTCAGCAATAAGACTGCAACTTCCATGTCTTCTGCCTCCACCTCCTCTAGTACTTGAATTGCGGTCAGGATGTTCTCGAATGTACATCTCCCTTTCACAAAAGCACCCTGTTCCTTTTATACCAGAACCGGAAGAACTACCGCCAGCCTGCTAGCCAACGTCTTAGCCAGGATCTTATAGCTAACGTTTAAGACGGATATGGGTCGCCAGTTTTTCACTAGTGACTTATCTCCCTTTTTGAACATCAAGGTAATGATCCCTCTAGTCATTGTCAGCCCAAGCTTGCCACCTACTAGGATTCCGTTATATACCTGCACTAAATCCTCTTCCAAAGTGGCCCAGCATGTGGCGTAAAACTCCACCGGGAACCCATCGTCCCCGGGCGTCTTTCCTCTAGCCATTTCTTTCACAGTTTGTTGTAGCTCCTCTGCTGTGATCGGTCTGTCCAGACCTTGTCTTTGGTGTGGCGTGAGAGTCGCCTGTAGGTTGCACCAGAGGTCCGTGTGGATGGACATGTCTGTGTCCATATTCTCGTCGAGCCGTCTGGAGGTTAGGATATCCTGAAAATATGTCATCGCATATTCACTCATTAAGTCCAGTGTATGTGCCCGTGGCATGTCTGGAAGCAGTGGATGTGCCAATTCTGACATAATCACCTGCTTTCTCTGTGGAAGAAGTTTCTTGAAAGATTCTTTGGTGATTCTGTCTGAAGTTATAATCCCCTTCACTTTCAGAATCCACTTCCACCTCTTTTCTTTGTTCTTCTTATATTGTTCCCATGCTTTCACTCTTACCACCCTTTCTTCCTCCCAAACTGCCTTTGAGACTGGGTGGCCACACATGTTTCTTTCCGCCTCCTCCACTCTCTTCCAGAGGGTTCTTTCTTCTCTGTTCTTTTGAAAGGCGGCAATCTCTGAGAAATATATCGAACTTGCGTGCAACTATTCGCAGACCCGCATCCATCCATTCTGCTGCAGAGTCAAAAAAGGTCCAGGTATTTCTCCACGAGCTCCAGAAATCCTCTACCCACAGCCTCCAGCCATCGTCCTCCAGATTCGCAACATTTAACATGAAGAGACCTGGTCCTCATTCCACCTTGTGACCCATCGCTATATTAAGGATGACTAGTTTATGATCAAAGATTGAGTCTTTCTGTTCCTCTACTTTGACAGCCAACTTACATGCCTCCTCTGAGACCAAAAAAAAATCCAATCTCCTCTTTGTGAACGGAGCAGTGACCGGATTACCAAACCAGGTATACCCTTCACTGTCCGGATTTCTAATTCTGTAAACATCCTTCAAGCCCCAAACCTCCATCCACCTGATCAAGTAACTGCGATCATTTTTTGGCGAGTCATCCCTGTCCGAGTTTAGGCTTGGAGCGACTATCTGGTTCCAATCTCTCGCGAGAATCAGCTTCTTCGACTTTGGTAAGACAAGTGGTAGCATTTCGGAAAAGGCAAACCTTTCTTGCGGTTCATTTGGTGCGTAAATAGAGGCAAAGGTTCAGTCCTCCTCTCCTATCCCCAACTTAACCCAACACCATCTTCCCCACAAGTCCGAATCGAAATCTATGAGTTGTGTTGCTATTCTATTGTGGACCAGGATAGCCACGCCGCCTTTACTTCCTCGCGCCGGTGACCATAGTTGTGGGCCGCTCCACCAATCCTTCAGTTCCGTCAGTTTTCGTTCTGAGAGTTTAGTTTCATGGATGAATAGAATATCCGCTTTATTGGCATGTACCCATGACTTTATCCTAGTTCCCTTACATCTACCTCCCGTGTCCCCCAGCCCTTACACATTCCACGTAACAAGCCGACACTTACTCATCTAGACAACATTCGGAGCTGACGCGCTTGCATACTGATTTCCTCCTTCACCGTCAGTTCTCAGGAGTCTGGTTTCTTCCCAACTACCCCGAAGTGCATTTGCGAAATACTGAGAAGTCAGGTTCCGAGTTCTTGGGAGTGATCTGTCCAGATCTGCAAGGAAGTTGGTCGGGATTCCTGGGTCTACCGCAATCTGGGACAACACCGCTACCTCCTTTGTTACAAAGCAGCTGAGCCGAACACATTCCAGACCAACGTTATTTAATCCACTCCAGCATTCTGGAGGGATCCTAGCGTCGATCAGTGGAACTGCATACTTTAATCGTCGTCCCCCTGAAATATATGTTATTAACTTCGCCATCATCTCTTCTGGGAAAATTCTGAACTGGAATCGATCGTTATATATCCTTCTAGTTTGCACTACAATGATCTCCGGAGTCGCCAAGCCAGTGATCGATACTGCCGGTAGATTCATGGAGCCATCCTGAACCCAGAGACTTATAACAAAGAACTCTTGTCCTTGGATAGCGCAAACAAAAGGCAACAGGAACTTTTCCTTCCGCTCCCTTTCTCCTCTCTCCAGTGTGACTACTCCATCCGGAATGATACCTCTTGAATTACCTTCCTGATTCCTTGCGTTTGCTCCCCAGTGCGTTGTTGAAGCTTCCGATGTTGCTACGCTTGCCCCTCTCGGTCTTTCCTTTCGTTTCCCCAACGGATTTGCCTCCTCGATGTCCATTCCCGGTGGGGGGGGGTGATGCTCTCTGATAAGCACCTCATGAGATACTCGATCTTCCCCGTTCTGATCCGCCAGGTGTACGACCAGAGCTCTTTCGTGATTCGGATCCCCCCTTTCTTGTTGAAATTGATACAACTCTGCGTTCCGTATGTCCAGTCCCTTCGCTCTCACATCTTGATATCCTGGGGGCGGAAAACCACCCCCTGGAGGATACAGCATGCCTCCCTGATGCATGATCCTGCCTGCAGCTTGCCAGGCCTAGGCGTGTTGCCATATCCTGGCCGCCTGCTGGTACTGCCAGGGTTGAGTACCGCCTCCCACATATGGAGTGAAGGCTCCGACTGTACCTCCTCCCGTAAGGGGGTTGTTTCCATATGTCTGTTGGACTTGTTGTATATCTGATGGAAGCCCCTCTCGATGTAAGCCAACGTGATATCCTTGATTCGAAGACTCCCCTCTCGGTGGCGGTGTCCTCCCTCTAGACTGGCTGGTCGAAAGATGTCGTTGTACGCTTCCTTGTTGTATATCCCTGGCCGCTTCTTCAATGCCTCTGTGGAAGGCCGCTGACCGAAAATTCGTCGCCCTGCGATTGAGGTTTCCTGCCGATCTTCCTCCCCCTTCAAGTTGATCTCCTTGTTCTTCAGCTCGGGGGCATCCGTTTTCAGCAGTGTGGAACCACCAGCGACATCGGTAACACCAAGGGGTTTGTTTACATACGAATTTAACCATCAAGATTTCGCCATCTTCCAGTTTCATCGGCAGTTCGGGCTCAAAATTACTCTCCGCTTCCTTGACCAGATCATACTTCTTTTTCATCAAATTCGGACGCGTTTTATCTGGCTCTGCGTCATACGCTTTGACCACTTTACCCATCGACTTCTCTAGCATATCATGGATGTGAAAAGCTGCACGAATAGGAACCCTCAATGCAACCACCCAGAACTTCGTTTCATCGTCTGTCCTTCTCCTTTCCTCCAATTCCTTTCTCGTCATCCAGGGTTTGAAGAGCATCGCGTAGTCTACTCCCCCCACTACTACCCTATCCTCCGCCTTGGCAACCATCCATTGTGCAATTTCGGTAGTCATAGCGATATAGGAGATGATGTTAGGACCCTCGCCAGTTCTTCCTCTTCTCACCGTTCGATCGAAAATCCGGTGGCACGTCCATCCATTTTCGTATGCCCTTATCAAATTTTCTCTCACTTTTAGTGAAAGATTTCTCGCTTCGCCCTGGAATATTACCGTGACAACTCTCTCCTTGAGCCACGACGTCGTTAGTCTACCTACATTTTCGTCCACTTTGAACATTTTCACACCATTCTCCATCACGAACTCCCCATGACAGAGATTCTCCGGTGTGACTCCATCCTCAAAGCACTTTGCAATGAGAAGTTTAACTCTCATTTCCTCTGCCAATCCCACATCGCGGTCTCGCGGCGGTGACCTCCCTGCTCTGCTATTACCTTCGCCTTGCTGTTGGTGATTTGCCGCCATCTTTGTTGCTCCCGCCAAGCCATCTTTTGTGCTCCTTAACTCGCCTTTTCCTTCCTCTTAACTATTGCGTCACTACTCCTAGTGTCTATCCTTTCACCCTTGCATCTTCTTAGATTGTTGTGCTTCCACTCCCGCTCGCTAGCCTGCGTCGCCACTGCTCCTAGTGTCTATCCCTTCACCATGAGCCCCGTTAGTCTCTGTGCATTCAAGGCGAGCGCCTGTACTGGCGCGCGCCCACGCAAATTTTCTTAACTCTCCAAATTCTTCTTCCTCGTCGTGTAACCATAGCTTACCTACTTCGGGTCAATAGCAGGGATGGACGTCCGCCGTCGCATCGGGCGGTTGCTCGAAAATTGCCGAGCCGGACCCACCTCCTTTCCCCTCGAACAGAGAATTCGTGAAAACCAAACAATCGGAGAAAACCAAACAATTTTTATAGACGGGAGAAAACCAATATTTCACCACTAATTTTCAGCCTGGCGGTACTACTTTTAGACGTTATATGCCGCACCTACCGAGAAAAAACATACCAAATCAAGTCTCCTGTTAGGGGAAGGCCATTGCTGAGACGAAAGTTTGTCCAAGGAGCCTCATTTTTGTCTCTTACAAAAATGGTTCAACAAGTGGTCCCCAAAACGGTTTGTAGTCAGGAAATGAATTCTTTGATCTTCTGCTACTGCAAAATATGACAAACTATTCCACAACACTAGGTACCACTTACAAACTTACATGCAAGTAAAGAAAACCTAGGCATGCTAACGATCACTCCAAAAGTACTCATGTTCTACATATGCAGTTCAGACATTGTCATTTCTGTTTATAGTTCTATAACGCGAGATGCACAAACACAAAAGAAAACAGATGCAGTTCAGACCTCTCAATTCCTTTTATAGTTCTATAAAGCAAGACGCACCGACACGCGAGAAAACAGATGCAGTTCGGACATTCTCAATTCCATTTATAGTTCTATAAAGCCAGACGCACAAACAAGAGAGAAAACAGAAACAGTTCAGCATTCTCAATCCGACTTATAGTTCTATAAGCCTAGACGCACAAATAAGAGAGAAACTAAATACAGTTCAGCATTCTCAATCCGGTTTATAATTCTATAAACCTAGACGCACAAACACGATAGAAAACATATACAATTCAACATCCTCAATTCCATTTATAGTTCTATAAGTCGAGACGCATAAACATGAGGGAAATAAAGGAAAATAACAAGTACTCCAAAAATGGACGCCTTTGTAACCCTTCCCAACGTCTTGGCATTACTGCGTTTATAGTCCTATAAATTAGAACGCAAAATACTGTAGCAACTTCGAAATTTGCAATTGTGTTTGTAGCTCTAAAAAACATGACGAACAAACACGAGATGACAAAAGGAAATGGACGAGGACTCCCAAATTGTACGCCCTTGTACCTAAGCTAGACGTCTTGACATTTGCATGTTTAAAGTCCTGGAAAAAACAACGCAGAAACTGTCACAACTGTGAAATTCTCAATTTTGTTTACAGTTCTTTAAGGCAAGAAGCTAAAACAAGTGGGAAAAAAAAGCAAACGGTGAAAAATTTTCTAACACGCAAGGACGAGCCGGAAAGTACTTGCAAATCCAAGATCGAACTCAGACCTCAATAGAAGCTGCTCCACAAAATTGATCCGTTGCTGCAGGCCGCAGTGCACTACAAAGAGGTTTAGGAACTACAGCTCAAGGTTTTTGGCTTTGGGAGAAAGAGAAATGTCTGAACCAAAAGACGAAGAGCGAAAAAAGCAGAAATCGCATAAGGGACTAACAAATCTCTAAACATTTTGGCCTAACACTGGTAAGGGAAAGAAACTAAGAAAACAAGGTAAACAGACTGAGGGAAAACAACAGAGAAATACAGAAAGCAAGAGTTCCCAAGGGGCCAGCCACCTTACAAAAAGACAGGGTCTGGGAATTTCGCATAACATTTTGCTTTTGAGAGGACCCCCCTGGGACCCGAACCCAAACCACTGGGCTGACTGAACAGGGAAATAAACTTCGTAAGTCTAAACCCTAACTTCTTCTTTCTCCTACTGCATGCACCTTCCTCCTCAACTAAATCTACCACTTCCTTTTTCAGTACAGTGAGAAAACAAAGCAAAACAAAAGAGAAACACAAAGCCAGAGAGAAACTTACGGGGCGGCAACCCCTAAAGACTCGGTCTGGCAACTTCACCCAACATTGTGCTTTTGACAGGCAAATCAATTTCGTGAGTTCAAACGCTAAACCCTAACTTCTTCTTTCTCCTACTGCATGCAGTAACCTCCTGAAACAAATCCACCACTTTTTTTTGTCAGCTTTACATTTCCAGTATTCTCTCCTAACTTTGCCCCTCGTTGACGAACCGAGTTCAACAAGACCAGGCCAGCAACTTTCACCACAAAAGACTTACAGGTTAGAAGGAAAGTCTGTGACCTTCGAATGCTGCTGTTTTTAAGCCAATGCTATTATTGCTAAAATCGCAACGTGCACTGATACCGCCGCTAATGGCGCAGGTAGTAAGGGTGTTAGCGCTACTCCTGCGAGTTGTCATTTCCTTGGCGTTTGTAGGACTACAAAGTGTTCTTGCTGCTACTCTCCGTGCTGCCACCGACTAGCTCCTCGCGAGATTAAAAGAGTTTTTTTGGCCTTCTCTCCCTAGAATTGACGCGCAATGTTAAAAAAAAAACCTCAGCCAGAGACCTTCCCGTGCCTTCAATCACCAACATTTTCTATGCTGCAAAAACTACTCTAACCTTAATACCGACACATCTTCTTCTTCGCCCTTCTCCTCTTCGAAAGCTGTGTAACCGACACATCTTCTTCTTCGCCCTTCTCCTCTTCGAAAGTTGTGTACACCAACATCTCGGATATCTTCTTCCTCGTTGAAGAGAAAAGAGAGTTGTCTGTCTTCAAAGAGAAATTGTAACAAAGAACACCACAGTTCCAGTCAAAAATATCTTCAACAATTTAATGTCCTGACTTGCCCTTTGCGTTTTTCTTGTAAAATGGTGTGTACGCTTCGCCTTTTCTCTTTTGTGCATACCAAAGCACCTTGAAACGTTGTCCCGGGGGTAGGTCGACGACCTTTCCGATATGGTAAGGTTTATTCCTTTCTTCCTCACCAGGGAAAGCTCGAAGTGCGATAACCTTTTCGACCTCCAAATCTTCGTAACGCCCATCTCTTTCTTCTCTGTGCTGTTTGCTCTTTCAGGTCCCTAGATAGACAGGCCTTTCAGGTGGAAAGAGATCTTCCAAATTGCGAGACACCTCATCTTCAGCCGTTGTTTTGGAATCTTCCTTAGACGACCCTTGTGAGCGTACTACTGACCATTCGAAAGGGCACTCGAGGTTTCTATCCTTGAAGTCCATATTTTTATGAAACTTGACAAACTCGTGCCACCAAATGACACTGTCGAACGAAATATACTTCGAAAGCGCCGTGACGTTCTTGGAGTTCCTCCTCGACAAGCTCACCACCACCAATAAGATCCTCACCTTCATTTTCTTCTTTACCACAGGTTAACCTTGAAACAAAGTAATTTATAGAACTATAAATTTCCTTATGTCTAAGACTTACAACAACAATTTACAACAACAATTTACAACAACTTTCTCAAGGTCGGAACAAAAGAGTTGTCAAGAAAATTGAAATGCAAAGCACAACGAAAGAATGCTTGCCCAGCACAATTGCCAGCCTTGAAACAAAGTAACTTTTTAGAACTACAAATTTACTTATGTCTAAGACTTACAACAACAGTATTTTAAAAGATGACATTCTCTGTTCGTACACACCACAAAAGAGAGGGTAAGCAAAATGTTACTTTCGCAATGTTTTACAACAACTTTCTCACGGTCGGAACAAAAGAGTTGTCAAGAAAATTGAAAAGCAAAGCACAACGAAAGAATGTTTGCCCAACACAATTGCTTGACATAAATCTTTCAGCCGCGTCAACTGAAGTCACCCCATTCAGCAAAGATAATGTAACATAATGCCAAACCCCGAAAGATCGCAACCACCGATAGAGCTTAGGAGAAACCCCCACCCCCCGAAGTCGCACGGTACGGACATGTTCACCCCACCTGACATAAATCCCACGTACCGAACACCCTTTATACTGCGCCCTACACCAAGGGGAGGAAAGAAGATAAACTACAAGTCCGATTTCCCATATATCCTAGTCAACCGATAATAAGAGGGATCGAAACTTAGCCACCCAAACGATTTCTCCCACAAGGACTAGAGGCACAAAACATAGCGTTAGACAAGAATTGTACAACAAACGTAAACGAGGTGATGTCCCGACTGTCCAAGCAAAACACCTAAGACGCATACATTCCAATAAGCTCTGCCAAAACCGAAATCGAGAGTAATGTGCCAGTCATTTACAGGGAGTCCGATCCTCATCACCTCTAAGAGCAGGAGAAGGACAACGGGAAAAAACAAACCCTTCTTACGCAAGTTTCACCCTGACTTCCACAAACTTCAGTTTGTTTCATTCGGTTGTTCTGTTTGTATTTGGTACACTTTAGTTTGTTTCATTCTGTTGTTCTGTTTGTATTTGGCTACCTTCGATCAGCATTTCAACAGCGCAGAGGTGTACCAACTGAACTGTAGCCTTTAGGATTGTAAACTGTAAAGTTTGCAAAATGTTCACTGTGTACGCACCTTCTGTGTTCGCAGGTTATAGGACTATAAACCTCAAAGTCTACAAACGGTTCACTGTGTAAACAACTTCTGTGTTTGCAGTTTATAGGACTATAAACTTCCAAGTCTGCAAACTGTTCGCTAGGTACGAGGCTTCTGTGTTCACGGTTTCTAGGACTCTACAAATCGTTGACAATGTACGCAGGCTCTGTGTTTTCTAGAGACTTCTCCTTGGTTGAGAAGTTGAAGTATTGGGGGCAAG